TCATATGCCTGACTCCCAGCACCTTCCGTGAGTACAGTCCATTTCTCCTCACCATAGCTGATTCTATCTCACATTAAGCAGCCTCCTACCAAAGAAAACTATCTTTTTTTTCTCTCAGTTGGCTATTTCTCAGCCAGACCATAATTGCCCCACATTCCTCCAGCACTCTCTCTCTCACTAATTTTCCTTTACACTATTGGCAGTTACTTTTCAAAAATAATCTGTACCACTGGGTACCTTTCTTTTTCAAGTTTTAATTTTATATATTTTCAAATCATGTGTATTCATGTCTGTGTGTGTGTGAGGATATGTGTACATGAGTGTAGTTGCCCATGGGGGTCTATGAGGCCTTGGATCCCTGGAGCTGGAGTTACTGGTGGTTGTAAGATGTCTGACACAGGTGTAGGGAGAACTCAATTCCTCTGTAAGAGCCGTACATGCTCTCAACCACTGAGCCATCTCTCTGACCACACTACTCACTGCCCTTCAGCGGTTTTCTATTAACTTACAGTACACATCAAACTCTAATTCAGTTTGGTTTATGAGGCCTATAAGCCAGTGGCCTCTATTCACCTCCCTGGGCCCACCTCATGATTGAATTTTTCTAACATCTGCCATGGGAATTTTTGTCTATACCCTTGAGCTCTCCTGGCACCACACCCCACTGGGACTTTAGCCTTTTGTCTTGAATGTCACCCCACCTCCAGCTCTATTCACCCTCCGTCACAGCTTGTCATTCATCTCTAGGTGGCATGATGGTTCATTATCATTACAGGATCTGAAATCACCGAACAGACACACCTCTGGGCATGTGTGTGAGAGCATTCCAGAGAGGTGTAACCGAGGTTAGCAGACCCTCCCTGGATGTGGATGGCATCATTCCACAGGCTACAGTTTCAGAATAAATACAGATACTAGCACTCATCTCTCTTTGCTGCCTGCCTGTGACTGCAATGTGAGCAGATGCTTCACACTCTTGCTGCCATGACTTCCTCACCCTCAAACTGTGAGCCAAATAAGCCCTCTCTTCCTTAAGTTGTTCTGTCTGGCATTTTGTCACAGCAACAAGAAGGAACTCAAACAGGTAAGATGATACTCCATCTGGAAATGTCTGTGTCACACACTTTTGCTTTAGAACTCTGCAAGCCACAAGTCTTTTCCAACTAGCAAATACTTTATAATGTCACTTCAACTATGCTTGTTATATTTACAGATCACATAAACTTCCTGTACTCAAGCTTAAAGAAAATCAGGAATAGTGAGGTGGCTCCGTGGTCAGGCACTTGCCAAGCCGGATGACCTGAGTTCAATGTCCAGGAACCACATGGGAGAAGGAGAGGACTGATTGCTAACAGCTTTCCTCTAACTGCTAAATGAACACAGTAGCATGTACAAGCACAAGCTCGGGTGTGTGTGCATGCTCTCTCTCTCTCTCTCTCTCTCTCTCTCTCTCTCTCTCTAAATTTTTAAAACAAATAAAAACTTAAATTAAAAATAAAAACACTAACCAAACCATAATATACCAGAATAGTAGCAATTAATAACAAAAATACATATTCCAGGGGCTCCAAAGATGGCTCAGTGATAAAGAGCACTTGCTGCTTTTCCAGAGGAACAGAATTCCATTCCCAGCACCCATGTCAATCAGCTCACAAGCACCTGTAACTCCAGCTCTAGAGCATATGATACTCTCTTCTGGCTTCTGCAGGAACCTGCAACCACATGCGCGCGCGCACGCACACACACACACACACACACACACACACACCTAAAACAATAAATAAACGTTCTTATAACGGTGTGTTTAAGTAAATAAATGTCTAGTCACTTGAGAAGACTCAACAAAGCCATGTCATGCTTGCTTATACTTCCACATTCATAATATTATGGGGGAAAAAAAGCCCCAAATGCAGACCATCACAGGTTGTGGTGCCTGTGACTCACACTCCATCAGCAGCTTTGCCACCAGAGACAGGGTTTCCAAAGAGATGATAAACTCTCACCAGTTTCCAACAATAAACACAAAACATTCCCTGAACTGGCACTGAATTAAAAGCTATGAGACAGCTTTCAACAAGATCCATGATAACAAAAGTCAAAAAAGGCCCCAGACTTCTAAGATATGATTCACTGGTGTGGACCGGGAAAGTGGCTCAGTGAATAAAAGTGATTGGAAGACTGACAACCCCACGATGAGTTCAACCCCAAGAAGCCCAGACTGATGCTGTAGCACATTGTATTCCTAGCATGCCTTTGGTGAGATGGAAGACAGAGACAGGAGAATAGCCGGGTGGTGGTGGTGTACACCTTTAATCCCAGCACTTGGGAGGCAGACGCAGGTGGATCTCTGTGAGTTCAAGACCAGCCTGGTCTACAAGAGCTAGTTCCAGGACAGCCTCCAATGCTACAGAGAAACCCTGTCTCAACCCCCCCCACCCCGCCACCCCAAGAAAAGGAAAAAAAAAAGAAAGACAGGAGAATCACCCCGGAGCTCATGGGCAGCAAGCCTCCAGTATGCAGCCCAGCAGAAAAAACAAGACAGGCCCTATTTTAAGTAAGGTAAAAGGACTAACTCCTGCAGTTGTCCTCTGACCTCTACAAGTCACACACACACACACACACACACACACACACACACACACACACACACACACACACACACACACACAAAAAAAAAAAAAAAAGACACGTTA